CTTCTCTTTGTTATTTTGAGTAGAAATTGGCATTCTATGGAAGCCCGTTTCTGCCACATGAAAGTAAAAGAATGCCAGGTAGAAAGTCATATTTTCGACTTTCAAAGTCATAAGTATCATAACTGAAGTCATAATTATGACTTTGAAAGTCGAAATTATGACTTTGAATCTCATAATTATGACTTTTTTATCTGGCATTCTTTTACTTTATTGTGGCGGAAATGGGCTTCCACAGGCACACACTGGCTAACTTATACTTAATTATTATACCTTTTTTAAAATTTTGTATTAAACCACTAGTCAGGTAAATTTCAATGATGAATTTCTATGAAAATGAAAAGTTCCACCTTTATGGAGTCAGAATGCATAGGGGCCACATAAGGATTTAGCTCAAGCTTAATGTGTTCTGAAAACCTTTTTAGCTGCTCCAAAAAAGCAAAAAAAAAAAAAAAAAAAACACCACTGGACTTTGTGTCCAAGTTTTCAAGTGTTTTAGTTGCGGCTCAAATTGTGATTAAGCAAATCAGTCCACATATATATATATAAGACATATAAACATCCAAAAACAGTTTCTTCATAAGCGTTTGAGAGTCAGATCATCATGTTTCTCTCCTTTGGGAACTCTGTTAATGTTTTGAATTACTTTTTACTGAGGGATACTGTGATGGTTCAGCCCTATGTTTGGGTTTATTTTTAGTTTCTTTGTGTTCTTTGTCTTTAAAGTTGGTTTCTACCAGTGCTGAGTTCTTTATTTATCCTTTGTTGCCCCCTTGTGCTTGTTTCCTTTGTTGTTTTGTTGCTTCCTCATCTCTGGTTCCCCACGTGAGTGTTCCCTGACATTTCGGTCATCTGTATTTTGGTTTTCAGTATTTTTGCCTCTGTTGCCCTGGACTACCTGATTAAATCTGCAAAACTCACCTCTACCTCCTGATCTCTGCATTTGGGTCCTCAAAAACCTCCACTCAATATGACGGATACAAGTATAAATATTCGACTGACAAATAAAAACATGAATGAATGAATTCAAATATATATATATATATATATGTATGTATATATATATATAGATATATATACATACATATATATATATATATATATATACATACATATATCAAAATATAAACAGCTCTGTAAAGGCTCACCAGAGAGCATAACATAAAGTTGACATGACTATAACAGCTGAATGCGGCGATTTCCATGTTGCTCAGCAAAACGCTTCACTAATGTATTTAGATCCAATGCCTTTGTGCGTTTTGATTTGAGTACAGCCAAACTTGATAGTCTCTTTTCTGTTATAGTTGACCGCAAATATTTCTTTATGAGCCTGAGACGTCAGGCCTAACTAACATCATAGTTAGAGAAATAACGTTCTGCAACCTGATTTTTATCATCTCAAAATCAGCATTGCAGCTATGCTAGCAACACTGTGCTTTCATTGTGATTTAATTTCTCCATAGATAGTTAATCAGTTTTTTCCTGTTTCATCCTGTGTCTCCTCTCCCCATGACCCCTGGCTCCCTCGCTTTGCCCCATTCGGTTTCAAAACGAATCAGTCTCAGTCGATCTGGTGTCATCTCGTGCTGCATTCACTGCATTGGAAAGTAGCGGTCTGTAATTCTCAAATTATCCATAATTTATAAGCCTCGCCACCCCTACCGCCAACTGGGGTGGCAGCAGGGGTGGCAAGGCTGTCATTTAGGGAGGCATTTGCCACCCTATGCCACCCCAGTAGATCTGCCTATGCTTCCATGTCAGAGGATGAAAGAGAGCACATCCAGCCAGTCATGGTCAGAGAAACAGGACTACACTGGAAAACAGGCCGATCTCCAACATCTATAAACAAAGGTGTTGATGGTGCCAGCACAGCTGATATTTCTCTCCAAGATGGAGTCACAGCCAAACAGGAAGCTACTATGAGAAAAAGCAGCATAAACAAAAAATTGACTTAAAAATTTGATAATACTAAATATCAACCCCCTGTCTGTAATTTAGGTCTAAAGCAGGGGTCTTAAACATTTTCCAGGCCAAGGACCCCCAAACTGATGGCGAGATGGAGCGGGGACCCCCTAATTTGATATATTGTATGAAATTGTGTTATATCAAACTGGTCCTATAGTCACTCTATGGAGTAATTTCACCCTGGGAAGTATTTCTGATTCTGATTCCTGGTTGATGGGACAGGTGTTGTGAATGAAAAGGTGCCCAGCTTGAAAGAGCTCCTGTGTGTCGCTAATGTGTGCATTGATGACTGAAAGAAATCTTCTGCCTCCATTTATCTGTTTACTACAGTGTGTTGAATTCATGTTCATGTGGATTTAAAGACATTTCAATTAGTGGAGAAAATTGAAGGGGGGAATTTAAAAAAAAGACTAATCAACCAAAAGTTTCACGACCCCCATGCAGTACCTCCGTGGACCCCCTAGGGGTCGCGGACCCCCTGTTGAAGACCTCTGGTCTAAAGTATCCACTTTATGAATGAGTATCTGTGCCATCTTTACGGACCAGAGTCGGTAGAGAGTGGCAGAACATTTGAACTTGGTAACAGCTAAGGCTACTTCTAATTGAACTGTCCATTATAGACAAACAGTGGCTAAATGCTACCCAGGGTGAACAAATTTAGTCTACAGCACAGTTCCCTTCCTCTGCTTATAACTTTTCAGGACCTGCTCTAGACGCACCTCTCAGAATATACTCTCTGTTGTTCACCAACATCTCATCTACCCACTACAATTATAACAAAATTACATTTTCATTCTTAGGACTTTAAAACATCCAAACGTGATAAAGTTTATTTAGATTATTTAACAATAAAATACATATAAAACTTAAGAAGTTCAAATTTACAGCAAGTTTCTAAAAAAGGAGGATCATAACATTATCTACATCAAAGAACCGTACCCCAACATTTCCTTTTATTCAATGTTTTCTAAAACCACAACTAGAACATATTCTGTACCTAAGCAGGTGTGAGATTTCAATTAAAACAAGAGTCAAATTAAGCTGGATTTCATTTTAAACCCCAGTTGGTACACATTGAAACAAAAATAAACATTTTCTTTGTGTCTTATTCAGAAAAGGACTTGGGGACTCTGGTTGGGTATTGCAGTACAGTTTATTGTCAATGCTTTCTGCAATCTCTGCAGGTAGTTACAGATTAAAGGTAATACAGACCGAGGGAAAAGGCTAACACTGTAGTACATGCATGTTTCTGCCTGTCACGCCGTGAGGTCCCCTTTACATTTACCTCGGCACACTGCACCAGGAGAGAATTCATTGCCGACATGCGGCTCATCAACCGTGTCACTGTCAGCACTGAGACACAACAACCACCTGATCTACATACAAACAAACCGTCACAAAGTATGTACACCGATGCTAGATGACTCTCCGACACATGAGCGGTCATGAAAGGCAGCTTGTAAGGCAGAAATATATCATGTAGATGCAAAACACGTCCAGGTCTGAAGGCAGATATTATCTCCTCGCACAGACCCTGGATGATGATTAGAAACTGTAAAGGCATTTTAATGATAATCTCTGTGTACATAACAGCTGTGGATTATTTACCGCCTGTACAGTAAACTGGGTTTTATTGTCTGTACATGAGGCATTTAATCTTTACATAATGCAAACATTCTAACACAACAAGTTAACAAAAAAGAAAAGCAAATCAGTTACGCGTATTATATGCTAGCAAATGTCAAGAGGCAACTAAGAATATGTAAAAACTTTTATGAAAATTACTAAAAGATGGATAAAAAACAAAATAAGTTCTTGGTTACATTTGGTTGCAGAATAACAGCAATGATGTCACATTTAGTAGCACTTTAAAATCTCTGCAAAGATCTTTGTAAGAAAAGGGAGTATTTGAAATGAAGCTTGGGATTTGATTTATTCCTGAAAGGAAAAAATATATATAATAGCAATTCAGCGTACATTTAAAAAGACATGCAGATTCAAACTAAAATGGTGAGTAAAATCCTGCCTATTGAGACGTTTGTTGATCTTTTATATTTAACATGTAATGAGGAATCATGGAGAACTAATGCTGCTGAAGTAACAGCTTCCAAAAAAGGGGGAGATTTCTGAAAGAATTCTAAAGGGCTGAGAAATTACTTCCTTTACATCACAAAAAGTAAGCTGAGGTGTTTCAGGCATCTGATCAGGATGTTTCCTCAAGAAGGTTTTTAACTTGTGTGAGAGATATAGGTCCCTTTTGGTCCGGGAAAAGATCAGGTTCCTTCAGAATGGGTTGGAAAGTGGGTGACCTTATCTCATATAACAGAGACCAATGAATGGATGGACAGATTGAAGGCTTTTTATTACCGTGGCAGCAATCCTCCAGGGATGAAGCGTTTTCTTTGGGTGACTCACTGGAACAAACTGTTTCAAACAAAGGATCTTTTTTTCTTTTAATGCTGGCTTTTTATTTAGAGAAAAACAAAAGATTTTTGCATTTTATGGAATAAATTTTGTTCTGTTTTAGAGCAAAGAACACGTTTTGTAAAGGAATATTTGAAAAAAAAAAAAAAGATTTTCAGAGTAACTTTGCTGTTTTCTTAGATTCCAAATTTTTCAAAATTTGTGTTCATATTTCATTTTACTTTTAAAATTTTTTTACAGATTGGATTTTTTCAAATGTAATTTTTTAAGTATCTGTTTCATATTAATTGCATTTTACAGATCACATTCTCTTCATCTCTGGGGGCGGGCCTTCCTCTGGAATGAGGTGTGAAGATGCATTTCTATTGGTCTGCTGGACGTTAGTGATAACGTTCGGAGAAAATAAATAAATGCAACTCAGAAAAAACATTCTGAAAAAGACAAATTTCAAAAATATTTGAAGAAATTTGTAGAAAAAAAAAACACAATATCAAAAAACTTTTGAAAAAATAAATAAAATTGGAAAAAATGCTGTGTTACTCTCAAAAAGGGTACGATTCATTTCTGGATTACATTTCTTTTTTCAAATTTCCATTTAGAAAACTCATTCTTTTTTTCCAAAAAAAAAAAAGAAAATTAATTTCCCTCCACATTTTTCCTTCAGAGGACAGAACAACGCTCTCAGGTGGGCTGACAGCAGCAGTGAGGATACATCTTCCTGAGCAACATCAGCAAATCCCAAAATAGTAGGTGGCTTTTCCTTTTTTTCTTTTAGAAGCAGTCCTGTGCAGAACACACACATACACCCAAATATACATGTAAAAAACTAAATTATAACCCATATAAAATATACAGCTCTATGTTCTGTGTTTTCTGGAGCGTCTCTCTTAGTTGAAGAGAGAATTCCTCTTCCGTATTTGTGCTTTAAAATGAATCTGAGTTGATCTGGACAACACAGTTGTGCCATCAGTGGTGAGATGTCAGGTTCACTTTCACCTCCAGGTTATTTGTGTTAAAGTCAACTGTATACAAGGCTGGGATGGGGTAAAGAACTGACGGAGACTGGTGGTCCTGCAACATGCAGTCATTGTGATGAGGAGGAAAGGAAAACACTTCAGCGGGAGTCACTTGGACCGCCCGGTAAGACGGAGGGGTTTTAGATTTCATTGATGGTCCGTTCAGATGGTCTGTAGCTCTCTGCTCCTGTCGGAGACGACATGTAGAAAGACTGCGTCTTGCGTTTTAAGCGAGCCCTCTTCGTGGCCAGGGACAGGCTGTGCTTGCTGGAGGCGATTATGTCAGAGATGAACTTCTTGCAATCCACACACACCTCCATGGTGGCCCAGTCCTCTGTTAGCTCTGGGGGAAGCTCCAGCTCTTCATGAGACTTTAAAGAGCCATGCTTCGAAAGCCTGCAATAACAAGAGAAAAGGAAAGGATGTTTTAAGGACCTGGAGTGTGAGTCAGATAGTCTGCAGGCTTATGCATCCTTACTTTAGACAAAGTTGATCTTTTCACTTTAGATGTGCAGCAGACACGTTTAAAACATGGTGGACTCGGGACTAGGATTGCCAATCTGAAAGTTTTAGTTTCACTGCAAAGCAAAACAATTTCATGACTTGCAGTTTTATTTTTGTCCAATAGATGTCAGTCAAGGCTTGTTGAAAACACCACACTGCATCAGCCTCCTAGCTCTGATATTAGCTGTTAACATGTGGAGTGAGTTTGATCTATTGTCATAAGCAAAGAACACGTTTTATCATTGTCTCACTTTTATCTCCTCTTTCTTACATCTTTTCTCCTTTTTCATATTTTTCCTTTCTATTTTTCCATTGCAGTGTCCATATAATCTGTAATACTCCCTGCATGAATATATAAAAATATATAAAGCTATTTATATGCATAAATCAAGCCAGACTGCTAGACTACGAAGGAGTGTTAGGGCCAGGCTAGAGATTTTTTTTCTTTCTATTATGAGAATAAAGTTGAATAATTACGAGAATAATGTTGTAACACTAAGAGGATAAAGTCGTGAAATTATTAGATTAACGTTGTAAAATTACGAGAAACAAGTTTTATTTTATGTCAACTCCTAGAAGAAGCACTTTCTTCCCTAGAATGAGGAATGTGGAGCATTATGAGATAGATAGATAGATAGATAGATAGATAGATAGATAGATAGATAGATAGATAGATAGATAGATAGATAGATAGATAGATAGATAGATAGATAGATAGATAGATAGATAGATTAAACAGTAGGGCTCGGCACGGTTCAGTTGTGGCTCGGTTATAAAAAGAGCGCATGAGCAGACCGCGTCATCTCCTATTTACAGTCAGCTGACTCATTTTGCGGGTTTTCCGGTGTGTCCAGGTTTGCGATTCACAGATGTCTTCACAACAGGAACTTTTCCTCGGGCTATTAACAATGAACGGCATTAAAATGGGATGGGATGATGCAGAGACCGAGGCTCTCATTGAAAATTAGGCAGAGGACGCTATCCCACCACATAAATTCCTAAATGTTATGGGTGCTGCCATTTTTGTTTGCATAATTCCCGCCTTAAGAGCTATAATATCGTGGATGGGGGTAGAGGAACCATGCAAGAATGATTTGTAAATGGTTGTAAGAACCAAGCTCAGCAAGGTTTACTGATCCAAGCTTGGTCCGAACTCACCATGGATAGGTTTCAGAGGGATAGTGTAAATGGGGTCTGACCCAGAACTTCATCCTCGAGGGGCAAAAACCCCAAAGGGGCCCAGTCCCTGAGGGTCCCAACCCTATAAGCCATAGTGCCGGGGTCCTATGGAGGTGGGGCTTTTTCTAAGGTGGAATGAAGCATTTTTGTAGTTCTTACTTGGACATGGTCTTCTGAATGCTGTGGCGCTGTTGGCTCCCGGGTGGTTTGTCAGCTTTGGGAGCTACTGTTGCTCCTGTAGCTTTTCCAGCTCCTTTAGATGCTGCTTTGGTAGCTCCTTTCAAAGTTGGGGATGGAGCAACCTCTTTAGGTGCCATTGACGGGCCTGGCCCTCCAGCCACAGAGAGTCCTTGTCCGACAGCAGCCATGGAGATTATTCTGTCTCTGGGCAGAGTGTTGGTAGAGCCGATGGAGTAGATAGGCAGACTGGAATATGGTTTGGATGGAAGCCGCATCTGATTGAAATCGAAGGCAGAAGAGTTATCATATGGACTGAGACCCACTTTTCTGACAGTAAAACAGATTCATTCTGTTTGACATACCTTTTTGCAGCACTGTGAGCACACAGGCCTAAAAACACATAATAGAGCAAAATAGTTATTTAAAAAAACAAACATAAGGATAACTTATATATAAAAAAAAAAAAAAAATTTACTTTTTGCAGAACTGGCAGGTATAGGACCAGGTGAACAAGGAAAACCTTTTGGTTCTACAGCAGAAGCAAAGCTGCAATGAGAGACAGATTTAGGCCACAAAGATTAGTGAAAACCGATTGCACCCAGAATAACAAACATATTTCTGATGTGAAATACACACACTCATTCTAAATAATGGACATTGGGGTAGAAATACATTGGAAAATATATACAGACTCATATGGAGTAAGATGCTACCTCTCATTCCTACCATATAACACTTTTTAAGAGTCTTCCATGATGTTGGGATCTGGAGGTCTGTCCCCCTTCCTCCAGCAGAGGGCGCCCCTTGGTCTCCTGGCGCTGAGCTGAGGACCACACCTGTGATCCATCAGTCATCAGGAGATCAGCTTTATAAGCAGCTGCTGAGCTTCCCTTCCTTGCCAGAGTGTTGCTCCAGTTGGTCAGCGCTTAAGCCTAGATCCACAGTGTAACCCCATGACTTTTGAATCCAGCTTGGATTCTAACCTTTATCTCTGTCTTCTAGGAAACCTGTGTCTCCTCAGAGAAAGCTCAGGACGAGCTAACCTGCCGAGCCGACCCTCAGAGCCAAACCTGAGGATTCTCAGAGAACCTCCAAGCAGCTCTGGGCAAGAGCTGGGAAATCCCAAAGCCAAGGTCTGTTCTTAGTGGACGTGAGACGCTGAAGCAGCAAACGGACTCTGCTGATGAACTCTTCTCCAGATCCAACAGAGACTCTCCCAAAGCTTTATCTGTGCACTCCAAGATTCCAGTGAACCAGTCCCCAGACCTCATCCAGTAATCTGTACTTTCTTCGTGCTTGAGCCTTCAATAAACTTGTTAAACTTTCCTCCCGTCTCAGAGTGTGTTCTGCATGTGGGCTAGGCACCTGAAACCCATCATGACAGAACACTCTGGCCAGACAACTAACCCAGCGGAACCACTCTGGAGGATACTGAAGGATCAGGAAGCTCAGATTCAGAGCCTCGAAACCTCCCTCCGTGAGAGCCACGATGATCAGGCTAGGAGATTTGAGAGCGCCATTCATGATGTCCACGATCGGTTAATGGGGAAACTGGAAAACATCTCTCGTGAGTTAAACACACGATTTGATGTGTTTTTGCAGAATTTTGTCGGTTTTTGCAGTCAATCAACTCCTAGAGCGGAGCCTGTTCAACTTCCTGTTCTGGTACCAGATCCGCCTCTGAGACCGGAGCCAGTCACGTCACTTCCGGAATTCCGTCCATCTCTCCCAGAGAAATTTTCAGGTATCCCAAGCAAATGTAAGGGATTTTTGTTTCAGTGCCGACTTATTTTTCAGAACTCTCCTGGCAGTTTCCCAACTGATCACCAAAAATTAACGTTTATTCTGTCCCAACTAACCGGACGTGCCCTAGAGTGGGCGCAGGCAAGGTTTGCCTCTGAAGACAGCCTTAGATGTGATTTTTCCGAGTTTTCCCAAGTGTTCAACCATGATTCTGACCAAACAATTGACTCTCGTGCTCTGTTGAATCTTAAACAGGGAAATTCCTCAGTAGCAGATTTTTCCATTGACTTCCGGGTTAAAGCTGCAGCCTCAGGCTGGAATGAGTGTGCACTTAAGAGTGCTTTTTTCAACGCCTTAAACGAGAACGTTAAAGATGAACTCGCCACACTCGAGACACCTGAAACTTTGGAGGAATTCATCAGGTTGACAATTAGCTTGGACAACCGTCTTCGAACTAGATCCAAGTCCAAGATTAAGAATCATGTTCTTCCAGTGACTGTTTCTACTGCTAGGAGAAGGGACACCCCTTCCTTTGTTTCTCCCGAAGAGGCGTTCAAATCTGAGAGCCGCGCCCAGCCAGAATCTGAACCCTTCTCTAAAACTCCTTTTGTTCCACCTGCTTCTGAACCAACTGAGGGGGAGCCAATGCAGATTGGTCACACTAGGCTCACACCCGATGAGAGGAAAAGAAGGTATAGAAATAAGCTTTGCATCTATTGTGGTATACCTGGACACTTTGTTTCATCCTGTCCAGCTAAGAAAAGGATTTGGGGCTCTTCTGAAATTTTGAGGAATCAGGTGAAGCGTCAATTAAATAGAAGATCTCCTCATCTTCTGTTACCTACAACCAGGGGCGGATCTAGGATTCTAGGAGATCAGGGGCTTAGCCCTGAGGGTGCAGATGTTGACTCCTTTTTTCCATCTTTTTTTTTTGCCGCCTCGCACACAAAACCATAATTTGTGTGTACTTTAATTTACGCAAGCAGAGAGGCGCTGAGAACCATCTCATCCAACCCAATCAACTTTATTTATATAGCACATTTAAAACAGAAACATGTTGACCAAGTGTTGCAGATATAAAATACATACTAAAATAAAAAAAATCATAAAATAATATAAGAGAATTAAAAAAATATAATAAATACAATGAAATGAAATGGGGAAAATCAGCTAAAACATTAAACAGCACACAGTTCCTTAACTGTGCTTATTCCTCTCTTCACCAACAACAAATCATGTGGATTTGTTGACATGTGTGCATTATTTGCCAAAATTAAAGGAGGGGAACCATATATTTTAGCTGACTGAAATAATCTGTTCCCCCTTTTATGATCTTTATCAAATGTATTTTCTGTTATTTATTTATCTAAAAATTTACAAAAAAAGTTGAAACTAAAACCACTGACATTTTAAATTAAGAATTAAAAATACATTTCATAAAGATCATCAAACAGTGAGATTTATTTGAACTATTTTGGATTTCAAAATATAAAATAATAAATGTTTCAAACATAATATATGAAAAATAATGGAGGATTTGTTTCTTTTTTTCCCATGGGGGAATGGATTATATCAGGTGGCTTAAATATTTAATTTCCCTCTCATAACTCTGGCAAAAAATGATCAAATGTATTCCAAATCCACAGAGTTTGCTGTTGATGAAGAGAGGAATAAACACAGTTAAAGTGTTGCAGGTGAATTAAACCCCCCCCCCCCCCCCCCCGCCCAATAAATAAAGAGCAACTGTTTCCAAATTCCCAAAAATTGTAATGTGTGATATCATGTCATATACTAAAAATTCCCTTAATCCAGTAATCTCTCATATTTCACATTGCCCTTTAAAAACTAAACGGCGTAAGAAGACCTCGTCTACTTATTTATTTTACAATTTTTCAAACAACAGCTGTCGTTTAAACTTGATGCTACAACCTTTACATGATTGTGAGTTATTTTTACCAAGAAATGGATCAGAAGCGCAGATCCGCAAGATGCACCTATCTGGCTTCAATGCGCGCTCCCAATACAGGGAGGACAGATTTAGGGGAACAGAATTTCACAGCAGACCGGGAGAAAAAAAGGCTCTGCTTCACATACCTGGGACATCAGTCTGTTTAGCAACAACTGGTGGTGGTGCTGGTAGTCCAGCTGTTTGCTTTTTAAAAAAGCTTCTGATATCCATTGATATCCGCCACTGGCCTATCCCTGTTTAAATTTGCTGCGCGGAGGTGCATGACTCCTGAAGCTGGCAATTAGAGACTGACACGGGAGTGGATTTTCACTCCTGTCCTGTCCCACTCCCACAGAAAAAAATTGTGTCCCGTCCCGATCCCGGGCCAGAATAGAAATCTAAATCCTGTCCCGTCCCACTCCTGGTGAAATTACTCCCACTCCCATCCCGCTCCCATTCAGAATGACTCCCGCTCCCGCACCACTCCCATTCTTGTTGTTTTTGAGCGCGGGTGAAAAACTCAGAGCGGAAGTTACTATTGGTTTGCTCCCGCTCCCGTCTGCTCCCGTTAATGTTTAATCCTGTACCGTCCCAATCCCGTGATCGTTACTAATACTGACTCCCATCCCACGGGAATTCCACGGGAATCCCGTGACCCGTGGGATTCCCGAAAAAATGTCAGTCTCTACTGGCAATGACGAGAGGGAAACACTTCTTCTTCTGCGTGGCAATGCTACAGGCTGCTTTCCTGCACATGCTGCCACCATCTGGTGAATTCCAGTACTTCACATTTTACTCAGATCAGCTCAAAAGCGAGGATCCGGGGCTTTTGGGGAAACATCAGGGGCTGAAGCCCAAGTAGCCACCCCCTAGATCCGCCTCTGCCTACAACTCTGTTTTGTTCCGATCGGACTCTCACTCTGTCAGCCTTCATAGACTCTGGTTGTGAGAGAAACCTCATTGACTCTAACCTAGTTCGACAGCTGAACATTGAGACCATCCCTCTGAGGAAGCCTCTCAATGTCTCAGCCCAGTGGCGGATCTAGGGGGCGGCTACTTGGGCTGCAGCCCTGGATGTTTCCCCTAGAGCCCCAGATCTCGCTTCTGAGCTGATCTGAGTAAAATGTGCAGTACTGGATTTCACCAGATGGTGGCAGCAAAGGCAGGAAAGCAGCCCGTAGCATTCCCGTGCAGAAGAAGAAGTTCTCACCAATGGCTGTTGCTAAACAGACTGATGTTCCAGGGATGTGAAGCTCTGACTGACTTCCAGACGTTGTTTGTCCCGGTGGTGTATGAGATTCTGTTCCCCTTATTTCGGGAATCGCATTGAAGCCAGAGAGGCGGACATGGCGGATGGGACCATTTTCACGACGCGTCTGATCGATTTCTCACTAAAATCAGCTATAATCATGTCACGGTTGTAACATCCAGTTTAATCAGCAGCTGTTGTTTACAAAATTGTAAAATAAATAAATAGACGAGGTGCTTTAAAGCTATTTTGTGTTATTTTAAACGCCAAGAAAATCGTCTTTTTTCCAACTTCTGTCACTTAAACCTGACAGAAATAAAAGTCAGTCACCAAACAGTTTTCCAACAGTAGTGAGTATTAATCATTTTTCATTGCTGATATCAGAGGATGGAAACTGGCTGATAGCAGGACACAAATATTCCTGAAAAGATGAGAGTGTAGACTTTCTGATTTATCCCGTTCTAATGTAAAATATGACAGATTACTGGATTAAGGACATTCCTAGTATACTACATGATATCACACAAACAATTTTTGAGAATCTGGAAACAGATGCTTTTTACTTCCCAAAGATATGGGAGGAGGAGAGACTTGATGTTTCAGCTG